CTCGTTCCAGGCCCCATTCTTTGCGTTCTTAATCGCCGTTCTAAGGGTCCTTCTGGCCTCCGCCAATTCGGCCTCCAGTTCAGGCACTGGAGAACCCCGCTTTCTTCGCTCCCTAGTAGTCTTCCTTCTTAAACGGTTGCAGCATTTCCTCAGTTCAGCGATCTCGCTACTCCACCAGTAGACCCCCTTTTTTCGAGAGTTTCTGTGTTTCCTCATCCCGGCATCCGAAGCCCTCCTCAGAGTTTCCTGCAGGTAATTAGCCAGCTCCTCTGCTCCGGCCCCATCTCTCTGCTTAGGCCATAGAGAGATTATAGCACTGGCCTGAAGATGATCTTGATCCAGGCTTCTGAAGTCCCACCTGGGAAATCCATTTACTTCAACATTCATCGCAGGATTAATCCTCTCACTGAGCCTCAAAAATATGTAGAGGTGGTCAGACAGCGACTCGACTTCCGAAGCCACCTCCCAGGATATAAGATTTGGGAGGACTGCGGGGGAAACCCACGTCAGGTCTATGACCGAAGATCCCTGGGGCCTGACACACGTCGGCACCCCGCTCTTATTTAGAAGTCTAAGGTCTAAGGCGGCGGCCCAATGTAATATGGCCTCCCCTCTCAACGTGGGGTTAACCCTGTCCCACAAGTGGGAGCGCGCATTAAAGTCTCCAGTTATAATAAGGGATCCTCTATTCAATCCTTCCACTGAGTCGGTGATCGTGGACAGAAAGGCCTTAAACTGATTTACCGTCCTATTGGGTGAAAAATAACAGGACACCACTATTCTACCTGTAAAATAATCCCTAAGTTTCAGCGGTGATATTAAATTTTTGTCGATAAATAAAACTAGGCAGCACTGCACATGTAATACCAAAGCAGCCCGTATGTGGCAGCACCGTCGAGGTACCGATAAAGTAGCCCGTATGAGGCAGCACGGCGTCTTCCGTCTGCCATCATCGCACCGAGTGCTCCGAAATCCGGAGCACACCCGCGTAACCGAAATATTCTGCCGAGCGAGAACCGGAGCCGGAGCAGCGGAGCATACCGGGCTCACAGTGCTCACAGTGTTCGTCTTTGTCGGAGAATACCGGGGTAGATACCGTATGTGCGGATTTAACGAGTATTAAGTGCGGAGTAAGCAAGCGGTCGATCACGTGGCGCGAATATTCTGTAAGTGGCGCGAACTTCTGTAACGGTCGATTTCAAAGCGTCTCGGAGAAGTGCGGAATTCTTCAATAAATTTATTCGTGTGACTGAACCAAATCTGTTATTTAACCCTTTACCATCCTTGACAATAAACTTACCAGATATCAGATCCCTATACGCAAATCTAACGAATATCTTACACTACCCTTCCAGGATACCGCCACAAATCCCTCACCCCGGTCCACAGTGGTCACCCGATGAGTCGATGTACCCCGCCAAACAATAGCGGCCAAAGGGGGAGTCTCAGTGGATCCCACCCACCTAGGGTCGATGGGCACACGATGTGGCTCGGAAACGCAAGCCACCTCGAAGTCTCCCTCTGCCATCGTCTGCATCAGCAAATCCTGTGCTCCTCGGGATCTGTTCAAGTTTATTTGAATTATGCTATCCATCAATGCTCGGTCCTTGGGCAGCACTACTCCGATCTGCCATGATTTTCCGGGGACTTCTCCCAGGGGGGCATGGGGGACATCCCTCTGATCCTGCTCGATAGTCATGCTGGAGACCTCTCTCCTTACACACCGGACAGCTGGTTCTTTCTCCGCAGTTCCTTGCCATGTGTCCGTGTCCACCACAATTGAAGCAGGCGCCCGAACGATCAACTGTGCTCGGGCATCTATCCCTCACATGCCCCACGGCGAAGCACTTGAAACACTGCAAAGGGCGGCGTTTGAGGAGGTCCACTCTCGCCGTGGACTAGCCCACTCTTATCCTACCCGTGCTTGACAGCTCAAAGGCCGCATCGAGCGGGCATTGCGCCCACACCGTCCTAAGTCCATTTCTCGTGACACGAGATTGCCCAAGTCTAATGCTAGTCGCCGGGCATTTACCAAGTCCTGCCATGGCTTCGACAAGCTCCTTAGGCTCTATCGTCTC